CCTCTGCGCAGGGCCCAAATAGCTGCCGGCGCCCCTGGAGCTGTAATTGGCGGGCCGCTGCAGTCCCAGGACTGCAAGTTACTGCTTGAGAGAGAATAGCGATGCTTTACTGTTGCCTGTTCTATTTGTGCGCCTTCAGCTGCTGCACGGGGCACGGACAGTGCTTCAGGAGTCACATGGGTAATGAGAGTGGAAGGCTTAAAATTGGCAAAGGCAAGCGCCAACAGAGACCTACCGCCTGCCGTTGATGAGGTCTGGCCCTGGTTCAGGCATTAGGTACCTGTGGCCTCAGGTAAATCACTTCGTCTATTTCAAAGGGGGGGTAAGTTACCTTTTGGACCAAAAAATCCCCCCCCCCAAAAAAAAAAAAGAAAAAAAGTGCTTTTTGGCATCAAGAAGGAACGCAGTTCTTCTCTGATGCCCTCTGTCACACATGGAAGTATAGGAGGTCCCTCTCCAGTCACCAGGGGGGTGGAAGGGACAACAGTCCATGTCATGTTACCTGCTGTTGAGATCCTGGCTGATCCTAGGGAGTTCTTGATTTCTATTGCCAGATCATGTCCAAGATCTTTTGTACAACTCCCTCCATGGCTCCTTAATGCATGCTACTGGCCATGGGGAACTATGGATGGACTGGGACAGCACTTCGAAGTTTTCCCAGTATGGCTGGAGGTGCACCACCAATGAAAATGATTACTCAACGAAAACCCTTATGGGGAACCGGAATGAAGAGCGATACGATATCCAGAGAATCGTGCAGCCCAAGCCCCTTCCTTCCCAGGTATGTCCTTGTGCTTTTTCTTACTGTGGATATAGCAAATCTCAGTTGAGATGATCACTGGTCACTTAATTTGTCATGCACACAGGGCATTACCTTTTCCATCCCCAGCTACAAATACATCAAAGGTAAGCCTCCCATGAGTAGCTTCCCTTCCTGCAGCCCTGCTCCTAGTCTTTTCTACTGTTTTTTAAAAATGCAGAAAGGCAACAGTCGGCACCTTTTTCTCTGGTGAGTGCCCTACAGCAGTCCCACTGCAGGAGTAAAGATGTGAGGAATGCTTTTTTGTATAAACTCAGTCTTACTCCTTTTAACAGGAGTGGCCCCAGTCCAGCTCTCTTTACTTTGCTGTTCAGATGGTGAATCCAAGTCATCACCGAAGCTTTGTGATCTTAGGTTAGACTGATTTGAAATTGCAGATACTTTGGTCTTCCTGTAAGATATAAATTGTTAAAGTTTTTTACTTATATTTAGCCATGCCAAATGTGAGTTTTTCTTTTCAGTATACTCACTGCTTTGAAACAACATGCTCTTCAGATTACAACAGGGGAAGGCACCAGAGAATAAAAAGTACATGCACAGAACTGAAACATAGTCTGTTGGATCTGTAGTGTAGCTAAAGAGGAGCTTCTGAATGACATTTTTGCTTAGAGATGACAGAATTGTTTTCTGTCATTTTCTCATTGTTGAGTTGTGCTCCTGTGCCACCCCAGAACAGGTATTTCGAGTCATTCGGGGAGTGGTATTTGCATTTCAAGTGTTCTTGTCTAGCTAACCTCATCACATTTATCCCCAAGGAGCTTTCGCTCAAATTCCCATTTCTTGCTCCTGAGTTTGAGCCTAACAATACCCTGCTCTATAGAAATTATTTCCTCAGTTGTACTTTCTGGATATATTCTTACTATTTTGTACCTACTTCCTCAAGTTTTTTTGCATTTATTCTTTTAGGATTTGAACGAGAACCTCATTGGTTTCCAGGCCACCACCCTGAGTTGGAACGTGCTTCGTTCAACCCAGCTGCTCAGTCCTGCTACACAATAGACTACAAGCCTCCATATAGCAGCATTTTCTTTGCTTGTGTCCAACACTCAGAGAAGGAACAAGAAGGATGCAGGAAAAGCAGCAGAGATGGAAAGAATCTGCAGACTATGCCTTCAGAAAAACAGGCCTGTCTGCCAGCTGTGCTACAAGGATATCCTTCAAGCAAAAAGACCTGCCACGCATTAAAGCTACACGTAGCATCATGAGAAAAACGTTCTTCCTGCTTTCTAAGCTGTATTGTTTGTAACCTATGTGTGTTTCTGTCATTTGTTTTGTGTGCAGAGGTGACTGCAAGTCACCAGTCACTCTGCGCCTTGTCAGTCAAGCCCAACTACACCTTAACTGGAAGAGCTTATTAGAACCAGCTAATAGGAAACACTAGGCCTTGGCAATTAGGTGGGTTTTGGGGTAGAACAGAGGTGCTAAGCAGATGATGACACCTGAGAAGGACTTAGTAGTGTTTTGTACCACTCAACAATGTTAACATAAATCAGATTAATTCTGTAGACTTCAGATCCTGTTCATTGTTTGAAGGGCACTGACAACATACTTTCAAAGTGATGTGATTTGCACCATGAGAGCAGGATGTTTTTCTCCTCTCTGGATACATCTGTGTTTACTGCAGTTATGCAGTTTTCATCTGCAACTGCTCTGAATTGGTTGCAGCACTTGGATGCTTCTCCATAACATGAGTCATTCTAGAGATTTAAGATACAGTTGTCTTCCATTCAGTTGTTATCTAATACCCACACTTCGAATGGGTTTCGATTATCATGAAGTTGTTTCACCAGTCTGATCTCCACTGGAGAAACTTTTCTGTTGCTTGTGAAACACTCTGAAATCCTCTGGCAACAGTGAAGGAAAATGCTCATGCAATTATATGTTTGGAAAACATTAGAGTGCACCAAGTGAAACGAGCAAAGTGTTTCTGAACACAAGACAAGCTCTCCTGGACACACCTGCCACTCAAGCTGTAAGCAAGAATGATGCCAGGTATGTTTCCCTGCACAGCAACCTTACACAGCTTTCTTGGCCCAACACTTCCCTTGTCCTCAGTGCTCAAAACAAAAGTACAAACTGCTTATTCATGTTTTATTTGTTAGTAAACTTACTCAGCATAAATAATAAGAGTAGCCATTCAGTATAGCTGGCATCTGATGAAAAGTATTCTTGAATGGCCCCCCGGGGTGACTTTAAATAGCAGCCTACTTCCTTTGGGCTCCCACAATGGCAGGCTTCTCTTCACAGGTGATAGGGATAGCGCGCTCAGGGACGTCACTTTGTTTCCTCGGTGCGCTCACCGTCAGGACACCATCCAGAGAGAGTGATGAGGTTATGGTCAGAGGGTCCACATCATCTGGAATCCTGTATTTCCTGTTGAACTCCCTGGCAATAAAGCCATGCTCATCCTTCAAAAGGAGAAGAGAAGGAACAGCCCTGATTAGAAATGTTCACTCAGTTCCACCTAAGCCATGGGCCCTTTGCATAAAGTCTGAGATCAGGAAGCTCCAGCTCTCAAAGGAAAACTTTTCAGAAAGTTAAAAGAGTTTTTATTATGAGATGCCCTTTTTAAAGAGCCAAGACTGGCCGAAGTGAGACACTGCCGTACCTAGGCTGCAGGTGCCTGCAGGTACAGTGTTTACATGAGGAGGCTTTATGTTCCAGCTCTTGTGCCAGCTAGAGACTGGCTTCATTGCACAGTGATGTGATGTCATTCCTAAGATGCAGCAGCTAGACCTACATGCAGTGCCAACCACACCTGTTCCTGAGGGTCTCCAGAGCTCTAGTAATACACAGCTTTCTAGTGAGCTGATCTCTGCCATAGTGCTTGATTATTTTCTTAGGCAAAAAAATTTGCAGAAGCTATGTCAGGATTACAGGCTGCTACAAGTAATGCTGTATTTCCTGACAGATCTGTGCTCCCAGAAGCTCTTAGAGCTGACAATCCCAGTAACATAGCTACTTTATCATGCGGATTCGTTTCCTTCTGGCAAGGAGGTGGAGGTGGGGGGTGGGAGGGAGATGGGGACTGGCAAACCCTGTTACATATAGCTTTGTACATGGCTTTTGACTTCTGTCTGCCCAGTTGCCACACAGGTCTCCAGAGCCACCAAGCAGTGGGATGACTGACAGCAGAACACAGCCTTTAAGGATTACAAACTGATAGATGGGCCTTTTTCAGGAAGAGGTAGCCTCATGGTAACGGAACAGGGCAATGCACTGATTCACTATGTGGTTTAATTATTACAGTTCGTTGTTAGCTTATTGAAGGCCTCCCTGCATTCCTGGCCTCTTCCCAGAAAGAGGGAGGCCCAGAAATGCCCATTTCAAAGATGACTTTCCAGTTCAGTTCACAGTTCGTGTAACATCAGCAATAAATCTCCACCCTGTTGCTGCCCAGTCTGGGATCAACTGGGGGGGTTGCACAGAGCATCTTCCATTAGGATTGGTTGATAAAAAACATTAGAAGTATTTGAGATGAGCACAGGAGAGGATTGTTTTGCAGTCTCCTTGTTTAACCATAGATGAGGAAGTTCACACTGACTCTATCAGTTGCACAGTTAAAGTAGAAGTACCTGGCGCTCCTCGTGTTTCCCGTGAATTTCTATCATGTCCCCAAGCACCTTCACTTTTAGCTCCTCAGGGGAGAAATGCTTCACATCAAGATTTACAGAAAATTTGTCCTTCTCCAGTCGCATCTGCAAAACAAGGAGGTGACTTCAGAAAAGGCAGGTGAGGGTTTCAGCTTAAAAAGGCTCTCAGAATAGAGCAGTTCAAGACTCAAACTGGTATCTACACATGCACCGTCTGACCTTCATTCGATCCTGGGATTCTGATCTGGGTGGCTTTGTCCCTTGCTGGCCTGTTACATTAATGCCCATCACTACAGCATCTAAAATGTGAATGCTTTCTCTTGATCACATGGGATAAATGTTTTCCTTGGGAGTGAGGAAAAGATTCTCTTAAGCTGAATTTGTTAAAACTGACTCTTTAGTTGGCATACAGGTTTCGCATCCAATTCTTTTTACAGAATGTCTGGAGGTTTCCAGTTTCTGTGGCTGGATTTTGCAAGTCTTTCAAGCAAAAGAAATACTGACTGTGCAGCTGACTGCAGCTCATCTGCAGGCTTGCAGGCTTTCCCTTGCATCGTCACTCTTTAGTAAACCAAATAATGTGTCACTGGTGAGTGGTACTGCCTCACTGCTCACCTCTGTTATCTGAGCAGCAGGACTTCTGCTGAAACTCTGAGTCACCTGCTGCTAATCTCACCTCCTTCCCTTCCATTTTGCACTTTATCACCTCTGACAAATACTGCTTTTTGCTGCTTCTTGAGGTTGAATTTGCATTTTCTGCCCGTCTTGGACATGTCTGTGGGACTTTGCTATATGAGCGGGCTGTCTCTGCCTTCCTGCTGCATTTGTGATCAGGGAGCATGCGAGCCTTCTGGAGCTCTGCTCTGGGGTGTGGAGGCAGCCTCTGTGCCAGCTCTAGGCTTACTGGTTTCCACAGTTTGACCTGGGAGTCTAAGTGCTTCCTCCTACTTCTAGATTGTTTGTGAAGATTTCTCCACTGAGATAGTCAGACGTTGTTATCTGTGGTGCTTATTATGGCTCTTCAGTGGACAGCCAGACCCACGTCACTAAATCAAGGGAAACACTATGCAAAGGTTAAAAAAATACTTTCCTCTCACTCCTTTGGCTTAGAATAGCTCTACAAGTTACTTGTAAATAAGACAGTTGACTCACAGAACAGGCAAGGTTGTTTGAACTGCGTGCGTCTTGGCTCAGCCCCTGAAGCAAACAGACGGCTGCTTCATGATCCTTTGGGTCCTGTATCTTACTTAAAATGCTGCTCTCCTCAGCAGTGACTTTTTAAAATAGGCCCCTTTTTCCTCAGCAGCCCTGAGCTCCCACACTGCCTGACATGAGGATCCCACTACCCTTGCCCACTACCCACTACTGCTTGCTTCTCAGGAGGGAGTGGGATTGAATGTTTTCCAGAGCAGACAGGGAAATTAGGCTTCCTCCTTTCTTCGTCAGCTCTTACAGTCATTTCCCGCACACACTCAGCTCAGTTTGCCTCTATTCCCAACACTATGGCAATGCTTGCTCTCAGTCACAAATGATTATCAGAGGATGCAAAGGTTCTTGCTTAATGCAGAGGAGCAGAGGCACAAACACAGCACCCTTTTCCCCAGTCTTTTCCTAATAATCACCTACAAGCAGCTTCCAAGCTCTCAGCTCTCATGGGTCTCCAGCTCCAGACCCATCAGGATGTGCACATAGCGATAACAAAGAGCATTAAGAAGGGAAGATTACCTCAGCGAGTCCCGTCTCTAGCCAACTGGGCATCCGAAGAATGGGGGATCTCATCAGGAAGGGACTGAGGCTGGGGGAAGAAGGGAGCAGCTCTGACTCCTGCAGGTGCTCTCCGAAAATCTGGTCAAAGATACGACTTGGTGCCAACCAAGATAACAGGGGTCTGCGGATCAGGGGGTTATGAATGGTGATATCCATTGGAGTGCGCTGGAGGAGCCTGGCAAACAACTGTGTTGCAGTGCTGTGCCGGGAGCAGGGGACAGCTTTATACCCGTGCAGCTGGCCTGGCCTTCCCCCCCGCCCGAGGCCTCTTGAACAGTGGTGTCAGGGATTTTATTGTCCCACTCCTGGGCTGGTCCCTTCAGCAGTGCCCAGTAGCTGTCTGGGGGATTTGAACACGCTGCTGAGGAGGAGGGGGAAGGGGAGAAGAAGAAAAGGAGCCTAATGGGGCAGCAAGAAGCCAAACTGCCCAGCCACCCGCCCCGCTCCCCACGTGCTTGTTTATCTGCAGAGTCCCAGGCAGGCTTGGCGGATGTTCCCAGCTGCTTTGGATGCCAGAAGGATCAATGCAGCTCCTATCTTTGGGTCACAGGGAAAATGACAAGGGGCCATTGTTGCCACTGCCAGCGCTGAGACTTCAGCTCCCCATATCACCCACCAGCCTAGGAAGAGACTAGAGATTTCCTTTGGCTCTCCTTAAGGCCAAGGAAGTAACAGGCCTGCTTTAGTCAGAGGGCAGGAAAGATCCCAGGAGGTCTTTGCTGAGATACCCCCTGGCAGTGTGGCTCTCTGCAGCCCCGTAAGCCCCGCTGCCTTAGTGCATGCCCACTGGTGTGTGTGCGAATGAAGGATGGCTTTCTCCACAGTGCTTCAGCCCAACACCTCTCGTCCTTTGCCCACTACAGAAACCACTTTGCTGGAGAGAGCAGAAAAGCCCAACACTCTGTGACCTCAGAGTACTCCAGAGGGCTGTGAGCAGAGATAAATCAGGCATGCCAATGGCCTCCGTGGTGCTACACTGCAACATGCCTTCTCAGGGATGCAAGCTACCTCTGCCTGCCTGTGCCCCTGCAGTAAGCCGATTTTCTATAATTATGCTCCTAATACGTCTTATTTCACACATTTATTTTAATTTCTGCCTCGCCTGTGAACCAAAATCACGGGAATGGGTTCAGCCTAGCAACTGTCCTTAAAGGACAAGAGCTAGTCTCTGCCTCTGAGAGCTCGCAGCTTAAATACAATTACTGGCTCAGAGGCACATCGTTCTTACTGCTAGCACCACCAGACCTTTGTAAAAGGGTCTGACCCTCTTCCTCTCAGCTTGCCTGCAAGAATAGGGAGCAGAATTTGCTCTGTGCAAGCTCAGGCCATAAATACCTTCTCTAATTCCCCATTACATCAACAGCAGTGCACCTGCTCTCTCATACTGCAGGGACATGGAGTCAAGGAAATCTCTGGTTTCAGGGTACAAGGAGCTTAACTGGGCACTACTTCCCCACCACCACGACCTCCCAGTTCAATAAAACTGAATCTATGCCAGCTTCAGTTCCCTGGTTAACTTGTGATCTCTGGCACAGGCATTTCTCCAGGTCTCATTACATTGTGCCAAAGCCCTGGCCAGGGGACAGTCTCGACAGCCAGCTTGCAGCAGCACAGTTCTGGATGTGGAGGTGTCAGTAGTGGGATCTGGATCCTCTCTAGCTCTGCTTAACTACCTGCAGCACTTCACCACTCACAGGAACAAAAGGCTTGAGCCGTCCACTCAGCTTCTGGGAAAATCAAGCTTCTTTGTGTAGGGCACAGGAGGGGCTGATTTGGGCCCTAAGCTCACAGTGGGGCGATGGGTGTGATAGTGACTTCATGTGACTTTACATGAGCTGATCAAGCACCAACCAGCATTAGCTACTGCCCTGTCCCCACGGGGTGCTTCAGGGCCAGCAGGACCAGTGTCAGGGACTTCTTGAACCTGCTTGCAATGATCCTTCTTGCTGGCCCTTGCCTCTGGGAGCATCACAGGCAGCAGACCCTGGGGTCTGTCCTGCTTTCTCCTACTTCAGCCTCCCTCAGCTCACCTCTGTGCCTCCCTGCTGTATTTGGTTGCCCATTTGCCTCCTGCACCCTCTGCTCGAGGAGAGGATCTCAGAGGCTGGGAGGAGGTGCGGGATTTTCCCGAGGCGTCCCTGACTGCAGGCAGTGCCTGCACTCCTTGCTGGAATGCAGTGAGAAGCTTCCCTCGTCACCCTGGCGAGGCATCCTGGGGCCTGTGTGCGTGGCTATTTTGGTCCATCTTTTTATCACACACTCCTCCCTGTGGAATTCGCCCAATTAAAACCTTGCAATCTGCAGCCTTCACTCTCAGAGGCAGTGAGTGCTTGGAAGGTCCCCTTCCCAGACACGCTATGGCTGCACGGACTGTCCCCCACGCCTACCCCATGAGTTCGGAGTACGAGTTTGCCAACCCTAGCAAGATCTATGACCAGAACTTTGGAGAAGGTAAGAAAGGAGATGGGATCCCCTTGGCACCTTTCTCTCCTCTGGTGCAGGAGGGCTGGTGGAGTCCCCCTGGGGAGACTGAGCTCCAGAGCAGGCCAGGGAAGCTGGAGCCAAGGAATTCTGAGCATAAGAACCCAGGTCAAATCAGGGGGGAATAGCCAGGGAATAGCCAGAGCCTCTCTCATCAGGTCCACTTCCTCCATCCATGCCTACTGCTGTCTCTCCTGTCCCTCCCTCATGCCCCCAATGGTCTGGCATTCATGCATATGCTGTGCAAACATGGAGCAAAATGTGTCGGGGTGGGGGGGAGTTTTTGCAGCCGGGGGCAGTGGAGAAAAGCTGAGCTGGGGTGTTCAGCATAAAGCCGGGTAGTGGCTGGCGGAGAGGAAGGAATGTGGGCAGCAGCAGAACCATTCAGCACCAGCACAACAGCATGAAAAGGCAAAAAGCTCCAAGGAAAGCCCCCTGGACAATGGCACACAAAAGGCCTTTAGCTCTTCAGGACAGTTTCTTCACCATCAGCATTTTCCATGCCCATCTCTGGCTGTGGGCTTTGCACTGCAGAGCGCCCAGTGCACCTACCAGTCCCTCCCTGTCCACCCAGCAGACATGCGAAAGCTGGATGCCAGTCCTTGGCTTGCTGGCAGCTGCCGGCTATGTGGTAGGAGGCGGTGGCTGGCGGGCATCTGGGTCTGTGTGTGTTTTGGAGACACAAAGGTAGGAACCACAAGAGACTCTGTCCATATTGTGCTGATGTGGTGGCAAAACCAAGGTGTTTGCCAGATCCCAGCCTCCTCCTGTCACCCTCCCCTATCTGCTGCCAACAATCCTTTTCCAACTCCTTCCTCTGGAAACCCCACACTCCTCACTGAGTCTCATTTTCAGGTGTGTCCCCATGTGAGATTTTAGCCCCTGTCCTGTACCATGGCTACTACATCAGGCCTCGGATCAATAAGCAGCTGGATCGAGGCACCTCTGAGATCAGCCTCAATGAGCACAAATTCCAGGTGTTCCTGGATGTCTGTCACTTCCTGCCGGATGAGCTCACTGTCCGCACCGTAGACAACCTGCTGGAGGTGATGGGGCAGCACCCACAGAAGGCTGACCGCCATGGCTTCATCTCCCGAGAGTTCACCAGGACCTACATCCTCCCTCTGGATGTCGACCCCTTGCTGGTGAGAGCCACATTGTCCCACGATGGCATCTTAAGCATTGTGGCTCCCCGGACGGGGAAGGAGGTGAAAGCCAGAGTCAACGAGGTGAAGATCACCCAACAGGAGCAGCCAGTGGGGAAAGAAGAACAGTCTGAGGAAGGAAAAGGGAAGAAAGAGTCCTAAAGGCCCTAGATCTGGGCTTGAGCAGGGAGGGAGGGGGACAGGGATGGGGAATCCACGGTGCCAGACCCCTATTTCTCACCATCAGCATTTAGCAGGGCTGTGAGGCAGCCATGTGTATGCCAGACTTCTGCTTCTTAAGGCTGATGGCTGGAAAAAGGGACTTGGAACTGAAACAAGAGGGGGACTAAAGTGTTAGTGTGAGGGACTGTAATGCAAGTTTTCTCCTAGGTCAAGTGCTTATTGAGCACCATGCAGGGTGCTCTTCTCTCACCCCAAATAGCAAGGGTCACTCTTACCCTAAACTGTGAGGCTGTGTCGCAGTGGGCTGTTAAACAGCTGCTGTACTCTAGCCCAGAAGGGTACTGGGAAGAGGGACGAGATGATCCCAGTGCCTCACTTCTGAGCTGATAGCTGACCTTTGTGGAGACGGAAGGTGCTTGTCAGTCTGTAAAAGTGCCTGCAGCTCTCAGGAGGAAAGAGGAATAAATCTGCCTCTGATCTTCTCTGGTTTGCCTTCGATTCATGTTGCTTCTGGCCAAGCTACTCTGCAGCAGGAAGGATGGACAGTGCCTTAGCTGCTCCAGATGCCGGGAGCAGAGCAGCGGAGAGTTCACACTGAGCTCATCTGTGGAAATGGCATCAGTGGGGACTCGGAGCGACTCTGCCCTTGGGCAGCCAGGGGGACCCCTGTGACTGGCCCTCCTGGCTCAGGTGCAGCTGGAGTTGCTTGCTGTTGTAGGGAGCCCACAGTGGGCAGTAGCCTCGAGGAGAAAAGATGTAGAGTGATGGGCTCTTGGAGGCTCACTGTGCATTTCCATACCTGGGGCTGGAGTTAGCCCAAGTAAACAAATGCCAAGCCACGGTCTCTGCTTGCTTCAGCCCTCTAGTTTATGGGATGTAAGGCTTGTTCACACACAAACCTTTTCAGCCCTTGTGAGGGGAGAGAACCCCAACATGCTGAAGGGAAAGGCTCTGCTCAGATCACAAGTGCCTTGCTGGCATCCCAGCACTCTCTGTAGAGTCACAGAGGGGATGAATTTGGATCCTTGTCCAGGCACCATGATGCTACCGGCTACATGAGAAGTGTCTCCGTAGTCTTGTGATGTTGGGCCAGGGATCGTGTGTGCTGCTGGCGGTGGCAGCTGCTGCCTCGGATGGCCCCGAGGGCTCAGCAGGTGCCAGTTGCAATCCTTGTCTTGTCAGAGCCAATTAAAGCAGCCAAAGTGCTGTGTCACTGGCCAAATATGGGGGTCCCTGGCATGCCTCAGTGCAGCCCTCCCCCAGAGGAGAGAGGATGTTCCAAGGTCCCTGTGAACAGAGCTTCTCCCTCTCCCTGCTGGGATGTGACCAGGCTTCTGCACTCTGCCTCCATGAATACATAGGGCCAGAAACGCCCTGCTCAGGAGTCTATCCCACGCAGCATAGCTCCTCGGCTGCTGAAACACTGGTATAAGGCTGCTCTTTCACACTTGCCAGGCAAAGTGGGATCCCGACCAAAGTGAATCACCATGCAGCTATTTTCTACTTCTCAGGGCCCCTGCCAGCAATGAGGATCAGAGTCAAATTAAGAGCAGCCCTGCCTGCCAGCTTCATGAG